AACCCGATGGAAGTGACTGTATCTTACTAACTTATGTAGCACTGCCACCTTAATCAGGGCTTATCACATAGGGAGTGCTCAATAAACATCGATGGATTCAAAGGAGCTGCTTATTAACTAGTTTCACCTGAATGCCCTATGTCAAATCCTCAAATGTTTAAATATTAATCCTCAAATATTTAAATCCTCAAATAGTTAAAATATGCCAACCGTTAAGGACCCTGAATCTAATATTAATGAAATCTATTCACTATTAAAACAGAACTTTGAATGCATTTGTAAATATGCTCATATTTACATATTAAAATGATTTTTAAATATTTAATTTATATACATAAGTTTAAGATCCACGCTGGATCATTTGTTGATGTTGTCTCCCGCTCCCTGTGAGTTAAATTTGCTGAGTAAAGCAAAACTGAAGAGTTTTTAAAGTGGAGCCCTAAGGCAGGGTGAAGTGTTTTGATAAGACTGAAAAATTAAGGTTCTATAATCACCCTCACCCCTGCTCCAGAAGGAACTTGAATCTTCACCACCTCTTAAGCCGAGGGCCCAGCTAGAAGCAGGGACCACTGCAGAGGCCAATGCCAATACACAGCAGACATAAATGAAGAAATGTAAAATATTGTTCAACCCTCACTTTCTAAGAAAGAAAATAATACTGCACGGCTAAAGGGTAAGATATTTTTTATTCAACCCAACTTCAATATACTGAAGTTGAAAGAAAAGGGACAGTGACCAGAGTATTATGCTCATTTGTGACTCCAGGCATCACTAGGGTTCAACAGAATAACCAGAGCCAGGATATTGTTCCCCAGGTTCTAGAAGCTTCTGTGCTACACCTGCACAACCTAGGCTGTGTTGTGTAGTATAGTGTAGAAGCATGAGCTTCTCTGTCAGACAAGCCTGGGTTCTGTAGACTCACCAAAGGCCGCGATACGACTGACCTTGCACTTTCTTTTCAGAAAGGATATAAGCTTGTTTAACATAAGGACTATAGCTGTCAAAGGGACATGGAAAAGTGTCTAAATTCAGAAGTTGCTGAGAAAGGCATTCTAAATACTAAGAGACAACCTATGGTTCAGCCACAGACTAAGTGCTCTCTACACAAGGAGGCAGACACACCCACTGAAGAGTGCTGCTCCTGGGGAAGGGGACCTCCTCTCTACCGCGCTCCCCTTTCCCCGGAGAACTCCGACACCCAACCCTACTCCGCCTGTACAGAGAGGGAGCAGGGCACCCCAAGTCCCGCGGAGCTGGGAGTGAGACACCAGGGGTGGATCCTAAGAATGGTGAGAATACACATACTATCTATGGCTGCTTTCATGGCTCAGGCTAACAGACCAAGTGACTCAACATACACAGAGAAGCAGTAATGGCGACAAGGGCAGTTGTGCAAAGCAAGGGCCCACACAGGCAGGGAGAGGCGCAGGCTGCCGAGTTAGAACAGAGGGCTAGAGGGGTGAGCTTTTAATGGATTTACTTATGGCTGCTGGAGAGACTACTCAGCCTAACAGTCATCTCCCCAGGTGCGGCTCTTAAACTGCATCAGAAAGAATGCTTATCAACAGAAAAATGGGTCACAGTCCAGGTATGTTTTAATTGGAGAGGCTTGAGGAGAGGGAGAGAAAGTACATTTTAATATTTAATGCTTAAGGATAAAAAATTTAAATCACCTGGACAGGAGACAAAAACACACTTGAATATCCCCATTTTGTAAGATTATCCAACAAACATCAAGATTACTCACAGCATCTGAGAGCCACAAAAAATGTGTTTTTCCCTGAAGTCAATGAAAATACTGTAACTTTTTCAACTGTAGAATGGACTGCTGAATAAAACTAAGAAAACAGAGAGCATAAAATATACTTCTTACGCTGGGACTGTGAAACCACTTTGGCGCGACTGCGGCCTCGATTATCAGAAGGTATAGAGGCGACATTGGTGGCACTCCCAGAATTTTGCCGTCTTGTGCGGATCCGACCTGAAAGATACAGCAAAAACAGTGTTTCCACAGGTTTTCAGTAAGTACAACCCACACCAAGAGCAAGGGGCATTAACGGGAAAAGGAGGGACAGGTCTTCCCCACATGTGGTCCTGATATGTTGCCCAGTGCATGTGCATGTGCACGATCTGTACATACAAATTCCACGGATACCTTAGGAACTCCTGAGAGGGAGTCATTAACTTATCAGGCGCCTGTTTCAATTATTTTAGCATATTATATTTTCAGACGAGAAGGTGATGAACATTTTCCCCACAATTTTTTTTTAAATTCTCTATTTTTTATTGTCTAAAAATCTGTCAAATTTCTAGAAACAGAAATGACAATATTAGCTGTCATTTTAAGAAAACTATTATAGAAAAAGAGTAAATGCAAAATGCTTGGGAATCAACAAAAGCTACAGCACGCTGGAGAATAAATGTGTTTTGATATGTAGCAATAAATTTCGATTTTAAAAAATGTATGCCAATAAATTTCTAGGCTGCAAAAGGTGAGGATAAAAAGAATACTACGAGGAACTAGAGAAATGATGACCTAGAGAAACGATGACCTAAAAATAATGCAATGTTGTAAGCATTTATGAAAGAATTTGCTACTCCAAGCAAAGCAATCTGTTAACTCCAATTATTAAACCATGAAATCATAATAAAAATGAATTCAGAAATGCAAAATCACTGATGATCAGACTAGTATGATTAAGGATTACTGTTTTAAATTCAGGGCTTCTGTGTTTCGAAGGGCTACCAAAATGCCTCTGCTGCCATAATTCAATCAGAATAGCAATCTCATAGGGGAAACCAAACCAGTCTGAACCCTCATTAGCTTCTCATATTGTTCAAAATCATTTCTGTCTTATTATCTGAGAAAGCTTACAGAAGAGTAATACAGAAAAACAAATCTTAAGGCTTGAAAAAGGTTCAAGAAAGGGGGTAAGGAACAATAAAAGAAAGCACTGNCCCACATTTTTCAGTTATAACTGAAACCTGAACATGCCACAATCTGTAAAAAGCACAAATTGAAATGCTTTAACACAGGCAAAATGACATCTTCAGTCATTTCCTACATTAGAAAATTCATTAGATTATAATGAAAATGAGGACCAAGTTGGGAATGGTGCTCCAGGTCTTTGCGAATCCTTACCTAATCCTATTCGGCTTGGGCTTGTTTCTCGGCTACACCCCTGACTCCTGGGGATCTTGCTTCGTTTTTCTGAAGAGGGTGTCACAGGTGGGCCTCTAGAGGAACCTCCCGCAAGGCCACTATAACCACTTCCCAGCAATTTCCCTGGAGAACTTGACCTGCTGCCAGCTAAAAATAAAGCAAAACAAAATTGAATAATGGACTTAATCAGGGAATAAATTATATTAATTTCAGAAACCAGTTTACACATTAATTTGGATCAAATACTAATAGAGAACTTTACATAAAAATAGTCTTGTAGTTGGCGGTAGTACTAATTTTTAAAAAACATAGGAGCATAAAAGAACATCAAATTATCCTAAAAGAACATTTATACATAGAAGAATTACTGGTGGAGTGCTACAAAAATGACTGCAAAATTTCCCATTCAAAAGAGCAGGCTGAGTACAAACAGCCTCCCTGTTCCACAGCAAACTTCTATAAATAACCATAAAGGTGTTTATTGTTTTGGGGTTTTTTTTCTTTTTTATTCTATAAGAGTTGATATGCCAAAATTTTAAGTATAATTGTTGGAACAATAGAAACATAAATATAATAGAAATTTCTTAAACATTAGTGGTAAAAAATAGATCCAAGAAAACTCCACTAATCTAATAAACAGAAGAAAAGGGAGAAAGGGCATGGAATAACTAGAAACGTGGTAAGCAAAAATCACAAAATAAGATACTGGGAATAAACTCAAATGTATCATAATAAATGTAGCCATAATAAATATGGCTAGATAATTCATCTTTAATAGACAAAGATTCTTGGATTGGCTTTAAAAAAATAAAATTAAATTCAAAACTAGATGTTGTTTATAAGAGACAAACAACATATACCTAAAACAAAACAAAATAAA